ATGTACAAACAATAACGTAAACTGGAAATTATAGTTTCTTCATGTACCATGTTATAATTGTTTTTTNTTTTAAAAAAGTATATGTATTTGCANGTTTTTTGTCGCATAATCTCTTTAATCAGAGTCTCGCATATTTGATATGTACGAAGCATATTTCATTACGCGTATCGGTAATTAATTTTGTTGTGTGTGTGTGTGCGCGCGCGTGTGTGTGTGTGTGTGTGTGTGTGTGTAAGAGAGAGAGAGAGAGCGCATATGCACATTTTAGTTTGATTTCTACATGAAATAAATACATGAAACAATAGTGCTCTTTAAGCACTACTTTTCTTTTTCACAGATGCATTTGTTTGACATTGACATTAAAGGAAAAATCACTTTCCGCGAGAGTGATTCCCTGTCCGCCGGCAATTCTCTTACCATCTTTGAAGCAAAAAGTTGTAAAATCGGCATTGGTATTTGCTATGATATTAGGTTCGAAGAAATGGCACGATTGTATAGAAATAAAGGTGAATTTTTATGTATATATATATATATATATATATATATGTAAATCTGATTCACAATATTGTTAAAAATAATGAGATGTAATTTAATGCTTTTTTATCATTATTGACTTTATGCTTTAATGCGCGTTCGCAGACAACGTTGTGTTTTAATAATTCCTAAAATTATAATTACGTTATGCAATATATCACGTATATGATATATTGATATGTAAATATTTTTCCTTCTTATTATATTCAGTTTGCGTAATCGTTAATCGTCTGCAGTATTAAATAATTATTATATTTTTATTTTCCTTACAATTTACAAATTAATTGTCAGTTTTACAAAAAAAAGAAATCTCGATTCAAATTTTATTTCAGAATTAATAAAATTAATATACATAAGAGCTTTTATAAGCTTTTTTTCTTTTAATGTCATTTGATAAAAGAAAAATGTGTTAAATTTGTCTATTTTATCTATGTGATCGTATTATGTACCTAGAAATCTCGAATCTATCCTTACGTATGTCAATTTATCTTGAATGTAATTGCATTTGCATCCAAAATTCTTTAGCAACTTATATGTGTGTGTACATGTAATTTACGTAGTAGTGATATTAACTCAATCAACGATTTTGCTACATGTCTGTAATACGAGTATATGTATAAATGATAATACATATACACGCACGTACGCATGTATGTTTATAAAATTATTTATGCATATAATCCGCGTCAGTTTTAAGTCAGTTTTTTTAAAGGTAAGCTTAGAGAAATTGATCTATTATTAATTCTGTTATACATATACTTGTATTACAGACGTGTAACAGAATCGTTAATTGAGTTAATATGGTTATCCCTAAACTGTGCCTCTGAATTTCATTTTATTAGGTTGTCAAATGTTGATATATCCAGCGGCATTCAACATGACTACTGGCCCGCTGCATTGGTCACTGCTACAGCGTGCCAGAGCAAACGACAATCAGTTATATATAGCCTGTGTTTCGCCGGCACGTGGCTTGCCACCTGGATACGTTGCTTGGGGGCATACTCAGTTAACTAATCCTTGGGGAGAAATACTTGACGAACTGGATGCCGTCGAGGATATGATAATCTCCGATATAGGTAATTAATTTATTCTGCAAAGCTATAAGAATAACCATCAAATGCAACAGTTTTTAAGTTTTAAATTAGAATATTTAATAAAAATTAAATATTTTGTGATTAAGAATATAAAATATAGATACTTATAAATTAAGCAGCATAAAGCATAATATAGTCATTAATAATAATTGCACTCTACTATGTATCAAAATAAATTATTACAGATTTGAAAGTCGTGGAGGAAGTTAGAGCGCAAATTCCGACGTTTAATCAACGTCGTACAGACCTGTATGACACTGTATGGAAGAAGGGAGATTAGGAAAACATTACGATGGTGATAATACTTATATGTCATTTAAGCAGTTTCGCATGTGTTTCATCATGAGCGAATTTTTAATCCTATATGATGATGAACTTTATGGGTAAGGGCACTAAATTTTACTCAAATACTCTATAGATAAATATCTACACGTGTTGTAAAGACACGTGATGGCATGTGATACAATATTGTTTATAGATATAATTGCCGGTACAAAAATCTATGAATAAACTTCATATTTTTTTATATACCAATTCTTATTTTTGTCTTATTGTTAAATCTTATCTCTATCTGATGTATTTCTTTGTTGCTCGAGGGAATCAAAGAAAGATTCAAACCAGAGATTATATTCGAGTTTGTTTGATATTTCGAATTAAATTTTATTGTAATCTCTAATATGGATTCTAAGTAATCACTCATACATAAAAGGCCCCTTGATCATTACATGACATAATTATGTCGACAGTACGTATCAGTAATATGTTAAAGCTATCGTCGTGCTATTTACATTGATGTGTGTATGTGTATTTCTTTTATAAACGCGTTAAGTCATTTTTTTTAAATATAAGCTTAGAGGAATTGGTCAATTAATAATTCTAGCTTTTTACTGAATTGGAATGGGTATAGAGGAAGAAGAGAGTAAAAGTATAATGGCGAGGTTTTTAGGAAAAGTATCGTTCTATCAGCCGAAGATATCACTGCCGTCCCGTCGAGATGGGACAATAAAATTGTTAAATAATTAAATTCGATTACGATACTTGACCCGAAGATACATATCCATTATCTAAGTATGATAATCCTTTTTATCTTTTTCTTTTAATGAAAATGTAGAAAGAGATAATACAAATGTATTTTAATTTAGCATCTAGCAAGCTTTTGAAATTTTTGAAAACAAACCAACCACATTGTATTGAAAAAATTAGATTACGTCCGAGCCAGGATGAATGCATATCTCTCGCATTATGAACTATGAACGAATCTACCGTATAATAATTTAATCTCAAACATTACTTTTTTTTATCACATTCAAGTGGCTTCACTAGCGCCACATATCAAACTTGACCTTGATTTTTGCGCAAAACTCAGGCAATGCCCTCATTTAAAAGTCAAATGCAAATCGAGACTGGTTCGCCTTCGATATTGACAGCGACTCAATTGAGATATTTAGTATCTCAAATTGACGCGATTGTAAGATTACCTTCAACTATAATATAATAAGTGCAATGAGCAGCTCCTAACAACGGAGACATATTACAAATAATTGCGAAGTAGTCGCGAAAATATGAACCTCCGTGTAATAACTCAAAGATATCTACGAAGTAGGAAATATATAAATTATAGATTTTAATACGCTATCCAAAATCAAGCTCGCGCGGGACAATGTGAGCTTATTGTTAGATGTGCCTTTGATTGTAGATAATATATGTTATTCGCAAACATTTAGTGGTAAGCGAACTTTAATTCATATAACATTATTATTCACGCCACTATTCTTATGATTTCTTTCATGACTTTTTGCGCAGTCCAAGATGATAGAACATTTTTATTAACATTAACGATAATTAAATGTAACGTTTATAGACGATCTTATGGATAAATATTATTAAAAAAAATAACAATTCTTCTATAATATTCTTCTAATTTCTTTTTCCACGTAGTAAATAGAATTTCGGTGTAATTAATTGATTATATAAATATACAACGTTATAATTAATTATATTATTATAATCAATTTATCATTATATAACAGATAATTATTACTATCGACATCCTTCTGCGATTATGATTGTTTCTTTATCTTCAATTCTTGAAAAGGACTACTTTTGTTAGAGACATTCGGAACGCTAATCGAAGCGTTTAGGATTCGCAAAGGCATTAACAATCCAAGGACGCGAGGATAGTAATCAAACGCTGTAAAAATATATATCACAGGCAAGCATACGTGCGCAAATACCGGAATACTCGTCGCGGTGTCGCAATACTGGAAACTCGCAAATATAATTAATATTCGTAATATACAGCGTCACTTTCCTCAGCGAGAAATGACTATATAATATAGCACCGTATTTTCATTCTTACATATTTTCTTTCACCAAGTAAAAAGACCAACAAAGCACGTTTGTGTACATTATACTATTACAATTCGTATGGCCCCATGTTGCTCGACTTAATCGCTGGTATTGTTGTATTAGAATACCGTTTCGCCCTTAAAAGCAGTCAATTCTTTTTTTTTTTTAATAGTTTCCGATAAGAGCGTTATAAAATAAAAGAATTCTGTGACATGGAAATTATGGAAAGGCTGTAAGTCGCATTCGCGCATCGATTACTAATTCCCAATCATCAGATTTCGGGATTAATTGTCGTGTATTAATAATTTATATACTTCTGCTTATTTATCGATCAACAATTAATAGCGTGTCGATTACAAATCGACAGCAATTGTAATTAATCAAATTGATATCGCATGAAAATCCAGGCGTTTACTATAATTATCGTCATTTTGAAATGTCAATGTGCAAATAATAGTTAATTTGTGGTCGAGTGCTAATTGAAACGAGAATAATTGAAATATTTTATAATATGGAAGCGAGAAGACGAGTATTATTGTCAGGACATATAAAATATCCAAACTTTCACCGTCAAGTTTTATAACGATATTATTCGATTCTATTGATTGTTTCAAAATAAAAAAATATTAAACGCATATAATACAAATTTTAACACATAAATAATAGACAAGAATAGAAACATACACACATGTAAACAATAAACACGTTAGCGTACGTGTGTGCTTTTCTTCAAACCTTTCGCATGTATTTTGTACTTTTTAAAACCAAATATTAATCATAATTAATACATGCAAATGTTTTTTCCTACGTTTACATTACAAGTTCTTTTTTAACACCATCGTATAAGATCGATTTATATGAAATCATAAGAAATGGGCAGAAAAGAAATTTAATTGTGCCAAAGATATACCTACAGATGACAAGCGAACGAAACAAAAACCGAAAGAAAAAATCGTTGAACATTAATTTATCACATGAACTCCCAACTCATGTATTTCAATATCATGCATTTTAATTATAAAGAAACGGTGATCTTTTTATAAAGAAGAATGTTTGTTCACAGCGAATCTGACGAAAAACAAAATGGATGAGTGATAAAATCGATCGAATTGAAGATTAAAAAGAGTCTCTTTGTTTTCAAACAAAAAGGATATATCATGCACGCACTCAACGCAATTTCCCAGTGCTCGTTGACGAGACTTGCGTTTCCGCACACTAATCTCTCAATCTGACACGTTCATCATCACGTTATTACACATCGTTTTGTGACAATGGGAAAAAAAAATTTTGATTTGCTACGCACGTATGTACGTTCGTAGCAAATCAAATATACGCTATACGTTCGTACGCGCGAGGTAATTAATCTCAATCGTTTTCAGTTTTCTTCGGTTAACCATCGAGCGCGAGTATTATCAAAGGCGAGGCTGCCGCAGATGTTCTTATCAATTTTTATATCGATTATTATTACGATTACGACGTCTCTTATCTATTGTGACCATTCTCGAGAATCGGTTATACCGAAAAAGTTGACCGAGAATTGAGCACGGAATTAATTTTCTAACGATAATTTTGTGTACAATAAAATGCACATGTTTCCTGAACAAAACAATAAAATTCTGAATTTTATTCGAAATGAGATCAAGTACAGCTCGTATATGACAGTGGTTGACATCTGATTGTGAGAGTGTTCGGATTAGGCCAAGAGCTACCTACGTCATTCTTTGATGACATTCGAATATGAGTAGATTTTCACTCGATATCGAGTTCACCGTCCGATAACCGTGTTATCATATCGAATTTGATAAAGTGGAAAAATATCAGAAAATGAGGCGGAAGGGGTTTCGCGCGCGAAAGAAAGCGAAAAATTGAGAAAATAAAAAAGAATTTGTTCACGCGCGTTTGTGTGCTCAAAACCTGACTGCAAAATATATCCACAAGTTCTTTCCAGTGAGAAATGATCGCTAATTCGATGTCGAATCGATGTCAATTCGACATCGAATTAAAGGCCATTTCTCACTGAGTTATTAAGTGTTTGTAAATGGATCTCTTATCAAAATTATGAAAGAAATGAAAAAATATATATCATTTTAATTTGTGGTATATGTGATACAATAACGATAACTGTTATTGAAACTGTCGAAATGATTACGTCCGCGAATTTTGATATTTATTCATAAATTTAAAAAATTTTCTCTCTGTTTTCTCAATTTTTCATAATTATTCAAAAAGTGACTCGATCAATTTTCGATTTAATTGTATCGATCTACTGGAGGAAAATTCAGTTCTCGGTAACTGAGCTCGCGCTATATTTCACATGGACAATTCCTAATTTCTATACAAACAAAGAACATGCCATTCGCTAAAATACTGCGTGTTCGCAGTATTTTACGAGACAAACCTGTTTCGAGGCGGTTTCTTGTACATAATTATGTTGTCATCATCATCGTCATCACCAATAGGGTATTACTAACTTGAAATTATCCTCAAGGAGGGGAAGGTTTATGACGATGATTGCGGATCTCGTCTGATCGTATAACTAAGGCACCATCGATAATGCGATCAATAAGCCAAACAGGCACAAAACAGGACTCCGCTCCTGGATCTTGGATGATCCTGCAGCATCGTACACATCCGGACCACTCCAATCATCGTCGCTGTTGTCGAGACACTCGAACTCACAGCAGCGTTCACCCACGCGGAACTTTTTGCATTTCTGTGAAACAATTTGAGAACATCAACAATATGATATTAATTTGAGAAAAAATTTTATAATAATTTAAAACATTGTTTGAAACAACCAGCCAAAGATATGTTACAGCGATTCTCTCACAGAAAATAACATTTGCCTATACCTCGCAACATAATTACAAAACATAATACGAAAAAAAAGGTATTCTTTATAGTTTCTTGTTGAGATATAAATTATTTTGATTTGTCAAAAAAAAAAAAAAAAAAAAAAACTTTACAAATACATTTCTGAATCTTTATGTTCAGTTTATGTATATTAGAATTCTCTATACGTGGGATATCCTAGTTATATATAAAGACGCACGTATAAGATACATCAATTTAAAGCTCATTTATAATAAATAATTTTTAGTAACGTATATAATTGTAATTTGTGCAGTGATTCAATCAAGTTCTTGCATATACGTGAGAAATGATATTGTAATCGTAGACAAAATTAGCATGAAACCCGTCGCATGCAAATCGTAATCTAGACCCTACTGCCCTCCATGGGACCTATCGTTTACAAAAAAAAAAAAAAATACGTCGCGTTGAACTCGCAAAAATATATGTGCATAGATGTTTAATGATGTGTGAAACGAGTTAATTGCGTGAACGTGTACAATCTGAACACGCGCGCGCGAGTATATGTGTACGTGCAATCGCCTTCACAAAGACACACGATTTATCAGTTTTCTTCATTTTTTCCGAGCATGAAATGGTTGAGCTATACAAATATAAAGATAAATACAATATTTATGCTTCTTGAAGATTATACTCAAATATAAAGACGTAAAGATATATATATAAACATGAAAGTATTAGTTTGAGGCCACATGAGATAGAGATCTATATTCGGAAAAAATCTTGTTAACAAACTTTCCTCCAATGTGACAATGTCGTAAGGCCTAACTGAGGGAAATTTAATAAAGCTATTATTAACTACCTCGATCGTTGCGCAATCGGATTAGTGCTCATTTATATAAAAGACGTATTTTTCTTTCCAACTGTTTCTTGTCTGATTGTCCGAAATAAATTAAACAAAACTGTTTGAAATATGTTTTAAGAAAACTAAATATACCAGCTCAACGTTTGGATGTCGTACAAGAATTATACATACATAATGTCCAATTTTTTCTGTATACAAGAATTCTTATAAATTAAACAACACTAATATAAATATAAACAGTTAAAATCTAATACATACATAGATTAGTTGCGAAAATTGTCTTCTTCTATTATATTCTCGCCGAAACATTTTTCTATCGATACATATATAATATTTGCTTAATTTTTATTATATATAATATGATAGAAGATAGAAAATTTTTATTTTAGAAAATTATTAGTTTTGTAAAAATGAAATTTGACGAGAAAAATTACTGCCAGAATGTGCTACATTACTGTGCTTTGTCCATTATTAATACTATCTAATATATTATCGAGGTAACATGTTCATTTCGTTGTGTCAGTCTTGTTCAAAGTCTCCACTATACAAAGTCGATTGCGCGTTTATTAGCCGCATAGCAGTCATAAGTGCGTGTAATATACGATATGGAACTTTGCGCTACTTTAGATGGCGGTGCATGTATGTACGACATTGATTTTAATCGGTGACGTGGGTATAGTAGAGAGTATATAATTAAAGAAAAACGCAGTTAAACGACTATTGTGTCTATGCACATAAGTCGCAAGGTCACCGAGAGAAATTCGGAGAACGCGACTCATTCACGAAATTACGCCAGTCGCGTTTTTATCATTTCTCATTACGCTAGCTAGTTATACCTTACTACTCGTTTGGACGGTGGATAACAATTTTTACTAAGCTATTGCTCTCCGCGGTAATTAAAAACTAAAACAAGGATTGGGAACCGTGTTAATGGTGAAATTTGCTATTCGAGAAAAAGCTGCATGAAAACTTAATTCCTAACAAATTTAAACAATTAAATGCTGTAGCGATTGTATAAACAAAAATACTAATGGCATTTGCTTGATTTTTCTCGAAATTCATGTTAACGTTCATACGAGAAGACGTTTAATTCACATTATTCACATGACGAATAGAAATACGAATTAAACAGTGAGAATGAAGATTACATCGATCCAACTTACATGTATGTAACTTACGCGAGTGCCATAATTTCCAAAGTAATTCCCCCGAAAAAGCGCAGGCATTCATACGAGTGATATAAAAAGATATTTATAAAAAATTCGGTCCTAAAATTCGAATTATTCGCAAATACATGTTCTTCGCATATTGCATTCTCTAACTTACGTATGGTGGCGTACAGTAAATGGCTCGACACCACCTCGGCTCAGAATGGTAGCAGACACAGAGACTGCAAACTGCAGGTCCTGGCACGTAGAGAAGGCCGTGTTTGACAGTACCACCCTGAAAATCCGTACAATTCTCCTCCAAAGCATCTGAAACAATTTATCACATCGTAGATTGGCAGTTATGTATAATCTGGTTTCCAGAATCAAACGCCTGCAGACACTGATACATGTATAAATAATTGGAAAATTCTATTTAAAAGTGGGCAACATCATCAATAATTTAAAATTGATCATCCTGAAAAATCGTACAGTCCTAAACCATTTATAAAAGCTTCAACATTTAAATAATGCGTATTAACCGTTTTTTAAATATAATTACTTAACGTCAAGAGAGGTATGTACATTATAGATAGAAAACAATAGGAATAACATATAATCTATCTAATTAATGTAGTAACTAATTAAAGTAACAATTAAGCAAAACATGAAGAAAAACATTGCGTTCAAAAGTCTCTATATAATATTGTACAATCTTTTTATTCATAAATTATATACGTATACTCTCTAAAAGTGAATCAGTGGAATCATCACTGATTGTCAGTGTCATATCCTTTTCCGGTGACATACTTAGAACTATGATAAACAGTGACTATTTCAATGTCGCTTCAGTGATAATACACTGATTTAAAGAGTAAATATTACTGAAAGACAGTGAATTTGACTGTTTGACAGTGAAATTCACTGTCTTTCAGTGATGTTCACTGTTTAAAATTTAAATCAATGTATTATCATTGAAGCGACATTGAAATAATCACTGTTTATCATATAGTTCTAAGTATGTCACCGGAAAAGGATCATATAACACTGACAATCAGTGATGATTCCACTGATTCACTTTTAGAAAGTATATTTAATTAGACACATTAAATGTTATTAATTCTTGGTGTTTTATTTATGTACCTCTTTCAATGTTAAATAATCACATTTACAAAAAGAAAGTGTATTTAGGCAATATCTTGTAAATGATCTCTCAATACATATATTATTCTTTTCACTCAAACTATTCAGTCACGATTCAGCTATGTCGATCATTGCAAATTTGACGTGCCAGCTACTACCAATTTGCCAACTTACTCGCTGCTTATTGTTGTTAAGAATAAAAGTGTTATTTGTAATCTTTAAACCTATTAGATTTATATCCTTCTGTGACGATTATACTGATTTTACTAATGTTATTATTTTCGTGTGTACGTCGCGCCTTACTTGTTTTCGCCGGCAGGAATAAAAGGATGGACATGCAGCAGAACATCCACGTGAATGTCTTGATGCAGGAGGGCCACTTCATGATCCGCGGGATATTTACTTGGAAAAGTGGGACGTGCTTGTATCGATAGGTAGTCTCTCTCTCAGTCGGAGTCGGAGAATGCCTTCGGCTATTGCAGCAACCTCCGTTCGTGCACTGACAGCAACAGGAACATGTTGCCTGCGCGAAAGAATTAAGATACATTTGTCATCATATTAGATCAATTTCGCGTGGGCCTCATCTAATGAATCGTAACCGCGCGATAATTGTCGTCTTGGCCTTTAAGCCCGATTACGAGGGAATTCTTGACGCGCCATATACCAGCGGAATTAGGAATTCGCAAGAAACGCTTGATGGAGAATAGCTTGATGGATGTTGATAACTGCGGAAGATTACGCAGTCGCGTAAATGATGAATCGTATCAGATTCACAATGCGCAGAGGACATGCTTTTCATTTCTTAAATACATAACTTTGTCCAATTTGCACGATATGATATATCTATATGATACAGTTTCCTATGCGTAAATCGCAAACTATAAACTTAATACCATTACTTTTTATTCTTCTTAGATTATACATATACATATACATGTATCAGAATAAATTTAAAAATTCCATATTAAAGAACAAAAATGAGATTAATTATAATAAAAATACCGAACTATATATACATATATATTATACTTGATATGAGTTTTATTCCAACATTCTCTACGAGACAGATCTACTTTTCTCACTTTGTTTGACTATCATTTATTGATTTTTACGAACTAACATTTTCGTGCGATTATTCTCGGGACTTGTTAGAGATAGAAGACCAAAGAAAATCTGCTGGATACATTTGATTATTTTTGATACGTTCTTAAAGTAACTGCTACTAAGTTTTTGATTTCTTTTAAGTGTATTTTTTATATTTTAACATTTTTGCTCTTTAATTTTACATTTTTAAAAATTTCTTTTTTTTATTGTTCACGCTTGACTTCACATATGAAAATATAATTCACTAATTTATTATGCTTGTATCTCGACAACCTTATAATTTTTTATTTTCAAACTTAATTTGAATCACGATTCAACTTTTTAAACGTTTTTATTGGAACGTTTTTATTCAGGAAAACAAAACAAGATTCTTACTTCCCGCCGAAGAATGTAATTGTTTATTAAGTTTTGCAAGTACCTATGACTTCTGTAATTTATGCGGCGTCTACAATGAGACTTAAGACTTAAGATTTAAAAAAATTGACCAATCATAGTCGACTATTCATCTCACGTGAAAAAAATAATCGATTATGATTGATCAATTGATTATTGTAACTTGATTTTGTTAATATTTATTACTGACTTGTTTCTGGGATTGATGCGGTCCCTTATTTTATTTATATATTGTCTTTGCTGTTAAATTTCTTGCTCTAAGTATTGCTTAAAAATTGCCTAAAAATTTTATCAGTTGATATTTATTAGTTGGAACTTTTTCGATACATGCAGAGTTTTATTAAAATCAGAATTTCCGAAATTGGCAAGATCTCCTCGCCAAGCAAGGTTCGCATTCAACTTTTTATCGACAATTTTTTTTTGTCACCCTTAAAGATTACGAGAGTCAAAACTCTTACTTCGCAATGTAATCGACGCGACGGTTTCGACACGACGCAATTCCGTTTGCCAAGTATGCATTATACGAGGTGTAAATATAGCGCACCAATGTCGTTCTTGAACTTCATCATCATCGTGCCAAAGTAAAGTTTAAAGCTGATAAATAACTTCGGTATAAATACACTTTTCAATGCTGTATACAAGTACATGGGAAGGATATATTTTATGAATGATAGAAAAGTACGATTGATTGGTGTAAAACTGTTTTTGCAATCTATAGAGTCGGGATCACTTATTGAAATTACACATGTGTGTTAAAAATGTGTAAATGTACGTTTTGTAATTGGATAAGATCGCGTAAAATGTGAATGAAATTTGTTAATTGATCGCGTCGACATAACAATTCTTCAAAGCTACCACACGATTTCAGCATTTATATGCAAAGATAAACTTTATTGCGCCACGTCGTTCATGCTTGCGTTGTTAAGCGCGGTATATAGATTCAATCGACAGTAAAACTATCACCCGAATTTTCTTCTAGTTACATACATTTATTGTATGTAATACACATAATGGATATAATAGAATTTATATTGAGTTAATTAAATTTACAACATCACCATGAAATCGTTTAATGAAGCTGTAATTTTATTAAAAATTATGATCGCTGCGAAATGTGAAATTTCGAAAGTGTGCACAAGTAAGATTGCCTCGAGATGTATGCGATAATCTCAAATTTATGTATTGTAACATAAGTTACTGTTGAAGATTTTAAGTAATAAAATGCCTGTATTTATTTATTTTAAGCAAAATAATGCTCGCAATTTAAAACTTGCAATTCAATCCTGTGACTGCAGAATAGTTAGTGATATCGAGATTATATTATGCGATCATTGATATACTAGGTATATATACAAGCATGCGATTTTATCTTTCTTTTTTTCATCGATTCTTTTTAATGCATTGAGGCGCCTTAATGGTTTGCTAGATGCATCTTTTAAAAATATTTTCTAGAAGAAAGGAACGTTATTGTGCAAATCGAATAAAACGGAAAAGACGTATATATTCCTGAATAAGTAAAAAAAGATAAGGAATAAAGGAATGCAAAATCTCCAAAAATGCGCGAAAATGATGTCAATAACAGGACGCTCATATCCGGTACGGAATTATGCTGGTCGTTGAGCAGAGCACGGGGATGACGTCAAGCCTCGGGTGAACCGTTTGTACTTGTCAGTCTGACCCGGCGCGGCGGGACCAATTCGCAGGTTCAACATGCAACGAGTGGTGATCAGTTATTCAGGCCGGCCGGAAATAAATCCGCATTAGTAATACGCACGTTACGGAAAGATAGAGGATAAAAAGGAAAAAGGACTGCGTTACCTTTGTACTACGCTCGCTATTAAGTACTATCGCTCCACCAATCGCTCGTTTTACATCGCCTCTCGCGCGTCGCTGTTCCGCATGCACGTGTATTTTCCCCTTCTTTATCGGAAAAAAGGGTGTATGCAAGGGTAATGCAATGTATGCATTTTTTATTTTTTATTAAACTGATATAGCAAATGCGATTCTGCGATATATTTCGCGAAAAGTGAGAAATCGGTCATTTAGGTTGACAACATAGAGAAAGAAAGAAAAAGAGAAAAAAGAAAAGGGGTGCGATCGAACGTACCGGTTGCGTGTTTGTCGTGAAACTTCCAAGAGGATCAACACGATGCAGCGGCACCGACAGACTGACTCTGTCGCAGTACAAGCTCGTTCCTTTTATGCGGGTCGATCGAATATGTTCCGCGCATCGCCTCACACGCACTCTCTCTCTCTCTCTCTCTCTCTCTCTCTCTCTCTCTCTGCGACGAAGCCACCCCCATGGTAGCGTAAATGTTGTACCTCTGCCGCCGCTGTTGTCGTCACCGTCACCGCCACTGCTGCCATCGTCTACAAAAAAGCGCATTCGTTGCAGTCACCGTCGCAGAATCATTTTTTGCGTTCTTTGCAATTTCAATTGCAATAATAAATTGGCTGAAATTGAATTGCTAATTATATCAATTAAGTTAAGTTTGTGCGAATAAAAATATAGTTAGACAGTTTTTTCCAGAGAATAAGATATTTATAATACCTTGTTACATTATTTATAGTTACTTCTAAACTAATTTATTATATTTCAGATAAAAAAATCATCAATGAATTATATAAATAAAGGAAAGAAACGTATATATTAAACTTAAAAATTAAAATTACTAGTAAAAATATTATAGAAATAAAAAATATTATAGAATGGAACTTGGCCAATGTACAACGAGAGATGCTCGTGCAAGCTATATCCTCTTGACTTAAAATTAATTAAAACAATTATATCGAAATACCTTTAAATGAAAAATGTGATAAAACAGCAGCTAAACTTATTTTAAAATATCATTATTAGAATTAAAATTTATTATTAATATTAATGTAATAATTAATGGGTAAACAATTTCGGTAGAATGTTAATTTTAATTTATATGTAAACCATATATGTTTTGGTCAATGAAATTATGTAATTATTCATTTCCAACAACGCATTGCAATTATTGATTATTGCATGCTCTTGGATTTTCTCCATCGTCGTCTATCTATCGTATATTAATTATTATCTTTTTTCGCGGACGTTCAACCGTAACTTGCACTAGATTCCACTTCGCTTGTGATTGGTAATTCAACTTATTATATTAAGTTAATTCTTTCATCCTGGTATTCTTTGACCCTCACTTTGGTGATCGTGTCGCTATGGCAACCGTATAAGGATTCTTCCGTAGCGTCTTTCCTTGAACCTCAAGCTTCAACGTTCAACAGTGCGACGACCAATCGAAGAAGTATAAGTGAATATAACAACCACGAAAGAATAATTAACGTTAATCTTTATTATTGCTTGGGAGAGGGATCCTTCCCTTTTATTTATTGTCCTCTGACATCCTCGAACAATTAATCTGTGACTTCGACCTCTGACGAGCAGGAATTATGAACGATTGCCCATCGTTAAACGCGACAGTCGGTCGCGTTGTTCACTTGGCGCACGAAAAAGTAAGAATAAATTCACGTAATTCGGAATAATTAGACTTTATCGAAGCAGGTTTAATCACATCTATCTTCGGAATTTAGGCAAGATCATATCGGGCATATTTAGATCTTTACGTGCATTACGATTCCAAACTCCAAGATAATTTGGCCCTTTTCGGCATCAGTAATATCGCTGTATTTCGACGAAATATTTCGACGAAAACACGTACGCATAAAATACACGTGAGATTAAAAATAAATGCCTTATTAAAGCAATATTAAATCAATCGATAAAGCTATATTTTCCAGTCAATCTTGACGATTATCGGCAATTATGTATATGATTTCCAATATGATGCGCTGATCGAAAGAAATATCGTTAACTCTAGATTCCAGAAGTACAAAAGCATTAACGATCTATCATTAAACGATCTATGACACGCAACGAATCAATCTGTAAACTCGGATCTTTAAGTTAATTATGGCATTCAAACTGTACGTGATAAAAAAGAGTAAATGTATTGAATTATGAATTCACACAATAATAAATAATAAATATATTAATTGTTAATTAGGAGGAAAAACGTGTCCAAGAACGTCGGCGTCATCTCGTTTATCTTATCGTAGCTTTTTTACGAGAGCAAGGGTGAGCAAAGATCTATGCTTATTTTTAATATTCCCAAATAATATCAAAATTTTTTGGTAATAATAATTAAACATCAATGTTAAAAACCTTATGTTAAGTATATATATAAATATATGGAAAGATTATGATGAGCGAAAGTGAATATTTGGTCACAAAAGCTTTAATCTCATTTAATTTAAGTAAAAACTTGAAAATTTCTGTGCGAATTCAGTTATAAACGTTTTAACATTTCAAACAATTATTAACCATTTTTATTTATACATTACAATTATTTAATTTAAAAAGTACTACAAGTAGGATATAATAGTGTAAATAACTACGAAATGAGAATTATCTACATTGTTTCTCATAGTTATTCCAGCACCGCGGAAAGTCTTTTCAAAGAGGCTCAACTTTCCCGAGATATTCACGTGTGCGATAATATTGATCTGGAAACTATCATTCTCGAGTACGTCGATTATCATTACGCAAAGTATAACAAGTATCCCAAGTTATGTAAGAAGACGGAAGTTGGGAGCGTAGCTCAAAATATGTAAGAAATATAATTTATTATCCAGAATCCTATAACCCGAGTGACACAATTGTGTTTTGACAATTTATTAAATATATATATATATATATTATATATTTATTTATTTATTTAATAAATTGTCAAAACAATTCTATCAAAAATTGATCCACAAAACTTGATATTTATTAGAATATCTTATATATTACAAAATATTACTTAATAATATTATTTCAGAAGAGAAGCAAATTTTTTAATATACAGATATACATTTTTGCGGTATATTCTCATATTACAAAACTTGATATTTATTAGAAATCTTTATATTTATTAGAATATCTTATATATTACAAAATATTACTTAATAATATTATTTCAGAAGAGAAGCAAATTTTTTAATATACAGATATACATTTTTGCGGTATATTCTCATATTACAAAACTTGATATTTATTAGAATATCTTATATATTTATTAGAGTATCTTATATATTACAAAAAATATTACTTAATATTATTTCAGAGGAAAAGCAAATTTTTTAATACAAATATACATCTTTGCGGTATATTCTCATATAAAGCAAAGATGTATATTTGTATTAAAAAATTTGCTTCTCTGAAATAATATTATTAAGTAATTTGTAATATATAAGATATTCTAATAAATATCAAGTTTTGTGGATCAATTTTTGATAGAACTTAATCGACTTTACATTTATATTTTCTGGTTCGCGAGAGACGCGGATTTCTTTATCCCGCGATAAACTCGTTAAATTCGATAAAAACTTCAAAGCCAATTATTTATTTTTTGCAACAGCAACAAGAGAGAGAGAGTTTCCAAGGCCTATTCAAAGCAAGAAGATAGTCGCGTTACCGAAGAATGTAACAATATTGGCAGAAATAAAGTCATACAGAAACATACCGCTTCGACGTGCAGTAACGAGTTGAATCTCGGTATTACGGTGACGCCGATCTTTCCTGCAGAAAGTGGTGATCGAGTCGCTGTACAAGTGCCAATGTCCGACGAAACTTTCATCGACAATGAGAGACCACTGAAACCTATCGGTAATCTCTATCCACACGGCTCTGAACTAAAAGAAATCGCAGATGTTATATCCCGGGTAAGAAACGAAAAATAAATGCGATACGTACTATAATTTGATCAGAAATTATGTTTATATGTCTTCTCTAATAAAGTATAAGCTTTTATTACAATTACATTAACAAATCCATATCACTATAAAAGGAAAGTTGGTTATCAAGTAATTACCGTCCATGAGTAAGTACGGTATAAAAAAAAAAAAAAAAAAAAAAAACAAGAGCGAGTCTGGATGACTGTTATAACATATAAAATTGTAATAATATAATATGTAACTGCATAACATATAACAAATAATTGTAAATGTAATAATTTACAGGAAATAGTGCAACAAAATTTGAATGTTCATTGGGACGACGTAAAGGGACTGAAGGATTGCAAAATATTACTGAAAGAAGCCATACTTTATCCCATGAAATATCCAAGTTTGTTTAGTGGGAAACTCGGTTGTTACAAAGGTGTATTATTATATGGCCCGCCGGGAACCGGTATGTAATCGCGAAATTATTTATCGCCCATGATGATAAATTGACGAAGGAACTCGACGAACAGGTAAAACGATGCTCGCGAAAGCAGTCGCTACCGAATGTCAATCGACCTTTTTTAACATCACTTCCAGTTCGGTTATCAGCAAATGGAGAGGCGATTCGGAAAAATATATTCGCGTAAGTCCAACATGATGTGTGTCTACGACTCTTCTCGAAATATCTATGTCCATAATGGACAATGATGGACATTCACAATTTTAGACTTCTAATGAACTCTTTTTTACGATAAACATTTAAATAAGAAAAAAATATGATAAAAAATTAAGGAAAGATTGTGATACTGATGAATAATGCAATTAAAAAAAAAAAAAAAAAAATATATAT